CCAATTCCCAGGACAAGTTGAATTCTTGCCTTTTCTGCTGTCCAGAACAATACTCCCCTGGTTACTCTAATGGGCTCTACTTAGATCTCATTTTAAATGTTACTTCCTCGCCGAGACCGGTTTGGCTCAGTGGATAGAGCGTCGGCTTGCGGACTGAAGGGTCCCGGGTTCGATTCCGGTCAAGGGCATGTACCTTGGTTGCGGGCACATCCCCAGTGGGGAGTGTGCAGGAGGCAGCTGGTCGATGTTTCTCTCTCATCGATGTTTCTGACTCTCTATCTCTCTCCTTTCCTCTCTGTAAAAACTCAATAAAATATATTAAAAAAAAATAAATGTTACTTCCTCAGAAAGGTCTTCCATGATCTGTAGTATAGGTCTACATTGTTATTTTCTATAAGGGAGATCTATTTATTTCCTTCCTTGCACTCAACTGTAATCATTTCATGCATTTTGTTTATTCCCTGTTTGTTGGCTCTTTCTGGTCTAGTCTAGACTACACTTTCCATGATGGTAGGGATCACATCTGTCCTTTTCACTGTTATATCCCTAGCACTTATTGTAGTATCTGGCATTCCAAATATTTTTGGAATGATGGAGCAAAGATCTTAATAAAAATTCCACACTCTCTAATAACAATGACTAATTTTGTACCACCATGAAGCATTAGTTGGTACAACTTTTCCATCTTTCCACAGCCGGGTGATTCAGTTGGTTGATGTGTTGTCCTGTGTACCAAAAATGTTGTGCTCATACCTAGGTTTTGGGTTGGATCTCTGGGAGGCAACTGATCCATGTTTCCCTCACACATTGATGTTTCTCTTTCTTTCTCTTCTGTTCGTTCTATCATCTATCTATCTATCTATCTATCTATCTATCTATCTATCTATCTATCATCTATCTATCATCTCTGTCTCTCTCCCTGTCTTTCCCTTTCCCTTCCTCCCTCTCTAAAATCTCTAAACATATCCTTAGGTGAAGATTAAAAAGATACAAACAGCCGAAACCGGTTTGGCTCAGTGGATAGAGCGTCGGCTTGCGGACTGAAAGGTCCGACTGAAAGGCCAGTTTTGATTCCGGTGAAGGGCATGTACCTGGGTTGCGGGCACATCCCCAGTAGGAGATGTGCGGGGGGCGGCTGATCGATGTTCCTCTCTCATCAATGTTTCTAACTCTCTATCTCTCTCCCTTCCTCTCTGTAAAAAATCAATAAAATATATTTAAAAAAAATAAAAAAAAATAAAAAAAAAAAAAATAAAAAGATACAAACAGACAGAAAACAACAGAACTGGCTGGTGTGACTCAGTAGTTGAGTGTCAATCCATAAACCAGGAGATTACGGTTCGATTCCCAAACAGGGTACATGCCCAGGTTATGCGTTTGATCCCCAGTAGAAGGCATGCAGGAGGTAGACAATCATTGATTCTCTTTCATCATTGATGTTTCTATCTCTCTGTCCATCTCCTTTCCTCTCTGAAATCAATAAAAACATATTTAAAAAAGCATACACCAAAACACAACTTTTCCCCAGGCCCGTTACCTTCGTCTTTCTCTCTCCTAAGCTCCAAGGGCCCTTCTCTCTCCCTGTCTTTCCCTTTCCCTTCCTCCCTCTCTAAAATCAGTAAACATATCCTTAGGTGAAGATTAAAAAGATACAAACAGCCGAAACCGGTTTGGCTCAGTGGATGCTTCTGTAACTTGTTTCCTGAGCCTATGTAGCCAAGCTGGTTCACTTTTACTACCTCTGTAACTTTCTAAATAAACTTTCTCTTACAAAAGAAAACAAAACAAAGAAAAACTTTTCCATTTATCCAGCTTAATAACTCCTTGGACTTTGATTTCTTACAGGAAATGAGAGGAAGGGAATGTTCATAATTAGCTGGAAAAGTGAGAAGGGGTTATTTGGAGGTATTGGAATCCCAGAGATGAGAAGACAATAAGGACAGAGAAGGATTTTCTATCAAGTGCATGCTATATAATAAAGAGGGAATATGCAAATTGACCATCACTCCTCCACAAATATGGCAACACCTACAGCAGAAGCTGAGTTTCTGTAACGAGCCTTAACAAGAAATCAGCAGGGACATGAGGCTGCACCCCTCCACCCCCATGGGGCTTGACAGGGGATCTCAAGCAGTGCCTCCCACCCTGGTGCCAGGCAGGGGGACCTTAAGCTGTACTCCCCTCCCGGCAGGGCTTGACAGGGTATCTCAGGCGGTGCCCCCCACCCTGTAGGGCTTGACAGGGGACCTCAGGCTGCACCCCCAACCCCAGCACCAGGCCGGGGAACATCAGGCTGCCCCCCCTGCCTGGTGGGGCTTGACGGGGGACCTCAAGATGTGCCCTCCACTCCAGTGCTGGGCCAGGGGACCTCAGGCTGCACCCCCAACCCCAGCACCAGGCCGGGGAACATCAGGCTGCACCCCTTGCCTGGTGGGGCTTGACGGGGGACCTCAAGATGTGCCCTCCACTCCAGTGCTGGGCCGGGGGACCTCAGGCTGCTCCCCCCACCCCAGCACCAGTCCAGAGGACCTGAGGCCATGCCCCCCTCCTGATGGGGCTTGACAAGGGACCACAGACCATGCCCCTCACCAGCCCACCACCTGCATCCCTCTGCCCCAGTGCTGGGCCAGGGAACCTCAGGCTGCTCCCCTCGCCCGAGGCCAGGGGGCTTCATGCCATGATTCTGGCCCAGCGGGGCTTGACAGGGGACCTCAAGGTGCACCCCGCGCCCCAGCCAGGGCTGAGAGACCTCAGGCCATGTCCCCCGCCCTGGCGCTGGGACAGGGGACCTGCGGCTGTGCTCCCTGCCCATCGGGGCTTGACAAGGGTGGGACCAGCTAGGTCTGGATCTAGCCCAATGGGAGGGGGGCAGCCAGGTCTGGGTCTTGCGTGATTTTGAGGCACACATGGGTGGGTGAAGACTTGGCTCTGGGTCCCATAGTGAACCCCAGACTCTGACAGGAGGAAGATATTCATATACATTTTACTAATTTTCTTTCATCTCTGACACTCCTATTATAGAGAAAGGGCGAATAGCAATAATAAAATATTTCCTCTAATTAATCCCTTTTTAATGTGCACAAATTTTGTGCACCGGGCCACTAGTATTATGTATAATTCCCTCATTTCAGTGAAGAAGAACCTGAGGCTCAACAAATTCTAGGGTCACAAAGCTAACAAATGGTGGAATCAGGATTGAAGTCAAATCTGCTTTCTCTTCCAAATCCTCGCATTGCTTTTCCAGGGATTGTTAATCAGCTGCAGTTCAGTTTCATAACGTGTAACACATGTTATTAAGAAGGAATAAGTATTTGATGTATTTTAGGAAGGATGGTAACTTAAATCTCTATTTTTTAAATTGAGTTTTCCTATCCATAGTTCATTCCGGTTACTCTCAGCTTCTGATGTCATTCTGTGTCTTTATTTGTTTTAGAACTTGAATTTATCCATAACTTACTTTCTCTAGAATTACGTTTTTCAAATCACAGTTTGTAAGCTAAGAAATCAATTTGGTGGTTTGGAAACACTGTTTATTAAAAACAACAACAGCCCTGGCTGTTGGTTGGGTGTCATCCTGTGCACTGAAGGGTTGCTGGTTTGATTCTGGGTCAGCGGACGTGCCCAGGCTGTGGGCTTGATCCCCAGTCGGGAACATGCAGGAGGTAGCCATCAATGTGTGGCTCTCATGTTGATGCTTCTTTCTCCCTCTCCCTCTCCCATCTTTTCTCTTTCTGAAATTCAATAAACACACACACACACACACACACACACACACAACCCCCCTCAAAACCAATAGCAACAACAAAATGGAAGAAAACAGTAGAGTATATTTAAATAGAGTAGAGTATTATAAAATACAAAATCCACCTAAGGTAGTAAAGGCAATAATTTTCTAATGTAACTTTTATTTCAATTATGTAGTTATGTATATAGTTAGGTTTGTACTGGGTCTTTTTTTTTTTTTTTGGTTTGGTACAGTGAACTTTATTGATGGTGCACAACAAAGTAGGGCTCCCTATGCCCCTCCCTTTCTCCAGGGGGTCTGGGATGGAAATGGTGGTGAGGAGATTCTTAGTGTGTTGGGGGACCAATCTAGGTCAAGGACTCCCCAGCAGCTGAGGGCCTCTCTTCCTCTTGTTGGGGCTGGTGGCCCAGGGGACTCTTACTCCTTGGAGCCCATGTGGACCACCACCACCCTGTTGCTGTAGCCAAATTCATTGTCATACCAGGAAATGAGCTTGACAAAGTGGTCATTGAGGGCAATGCCAGCCCCAGCATCAAAGGTGGAGGAGTGGGTATCACTGTTAAAGTCACAGGAGAGAGAAAAACCAAGATGGCGACATAGATTAACGCCGGAGATTGCTGCCACGAACAACCAATTCAAATTACACCTAAAAGACAGAACGGAAATCATCCAGAACCACAGGAAGGCTGGCTGAGTGGAAATTCTACAACTAGGAGGAAAGAGAATATCATACCCAGACTCAGAGGAGGCACAGTGCTGAAGTCACTCAGGTGCGGAGTGCGTGCGGAGGAGGCTGGCGGTGGAGGGCGTGGTTGGCATTTTCAATCGGGAGGGAGCTTCAGACTCTGAGCTCTAGAGCCTGAGAAGCGGGACTGTCTGGCTTCGGTCGGAACTCGAAGGCAGCTTTCTCTCCGAGGTTTGCAGCAGTTGCTGGGACTCTGTGAGGCAGAGCCCCTAGGGACGGAAATGAGAGCCGCCATAACTGCTCTCTCTGGACCACCCTGGTGATCCCGTGCGACCCACCCACCCCGCCCACA